TGCTCAACCCCAGTTGTCCAGGGAGGGAGCAGCGACTCCACCCTCTCAGGTGCCCTGAGCCAGAACCGGGAGCACTGGGCCTGGGGACTGTAACCCCCCTGGTCCCTGTGCTGATCCCTGGGTCCCTTTTGTCCTAAAACAGTCTCCTTACTGTCTAGTTTTTCAATGATCACTATATATATATATTTTAATTTCATTTTAATCATTGTTCAAGTACTGTTTTTTTCCCTTTTACTCCCAATCCAGCCCACCCACCCAACCCTCCCCACTTCCCTCCCATTACCACCCCCTCTCTAGTTTTTGTCCATGTGTCCTTTAAATTTGTTCCGGTAAACCCTACTCATTCCCCCCTGAAATTCCCTCTTCTCTCCCCTCTGGTCACTGTCAGTCTGTCCCCTATTTCAGTGTCTTTGGTTATATTTTGCTAGTTTCTTTGTTCTGTTGTTTAGGTTCCTGTTAAAGGTGATATCATGTGGTATTTGTCTTTCACTGCCTGGCTTGTTTCACTTAGCATAATGCTTGTTCTTTTCCAAGACTATTTTGTCTGTTTTGGTCCTTCCAAAGATGGTGGCTTTACTCTAGGCAGCGTGATTCTCGGCTTCTGTGAAAAGGAGGGAAACTCGAGGATCGGTTGAGGAACAGAGCAAGTGGCCTAGGTTACCGAAACATTTTTGAAAACAGCACATCAAAAATTATAGCGATCATTGAAAAACCATTTTTCCCCCCTGCTCAGTACAGTTTTCTCCCTTTGACTCCCATTCCAGCCCACCCACCCAACCCTCCCTACTTCCCACCCATTACCACCCACCCCTAGTTTTTGTCCATGTGTCCTTTAAATTTGTTCCTGTAAACCCTACCCATTCCCCCCTGAAGCTGGCCAGCAAGGCAGCAGGGAGCAGACTGGCAAGGTGGCAGATTGCAGACTGGGCAGTCCCATATTCCAGAGCAAGTAAACCAAGAGAAACAACTGGGGAGTAGGATGGACTGTGCAACCCAGCACCAGGAAGTAAAGCCTCAAACCACTGATTGCAAACACCTGTGGGGGTTGAGACACCAGAGGAAGAAACTCCCAGCCTCGCAGGAGAGTTCATTGGAGACACCCACAGGGTCTTCAAACATACACAAGCCCACCTACATGGGAATCAGCAGGGGCTCACTTTGCTTGTGGGTAGCAGGGAAAGTGACTGAAATTCAGCAGAAAGCAGAGCAAGAGCCATTGTTCCCACCCAGATCTCCCCCACACACACAACATCACAAAGCAGTGGGGTGGGTTACCCAACCCTGGAAAACACCTAAGGCCCCACCCCTCACTACATACCAGGCATGTCAAGACAAAAAAAATTGGCTCAAATGAGAGAACAGATCAAAGCTCCAGAAAAATTACAACTAAGTGATGAAGAAATAGCCAACCTATCATATGCACAGTTCAAAACACTGGTAATCAGGATGCTCACAGAATTGGTTGAATTTGATTGCAAATTAGATGAAAAATGAAGGCTATGCTAAGGGAAATAAAGAAAAATGCACAGGGAACCAATATTGATGAAAAGGAAACTGGGGCTCAAATCAATGCTGTGGACCAGAAGGAAGAAAGAAACACCCAACCAGAAAAGAATGAAGAAACAAGAATTCAAAAAAAATGAGGAGAGGCTTAGGAACCTCCAAGACATCTTTAAACATTCCAACATCTGAATTATAGGGGTACAAGAAGGAGAAGAGGAAGAGCAACAAGTGGAAAACTTATTTCAACAAATAATAAAGGAGAACTCCCCCAATCTGGCAAAGGAAACAGACTTCCAGGAGGTCCAGGAAGCTCAGAGAGTCCCAAAGAAGTTGGACCCTAGAAGGAACATACCAAGGCACATCATAATTACATTAGCCAAGGTAAAAATGAAGGAGAGAATCCTAGAAGCAGCAAGAGATAAGGGGACAGTAACTTGCAAAGGAGTTTTCATCAGACTGTCAGCTGATTTCTCAAAAGAGACCTTGCAGGCAAGAAGGGGCTGGAAAGAAGTATTCCAAGTCATGAAAGGCAAGGATCTACATCCAAGATTGCTCTGTCCAGCAAAGCTTTCATTTAGAATGGAAGGGCAGATAAAGTGCTTCTCAGTTAAGGTCAAGTGAAAGGAGTTCATCATCACCAAGCCCTTATTATGTGAAGTGTTAAAGGAATTTATATAAGAAAAGAAGATATAAAATATGAACAGTAAAATGACAGTAAACTCACAATCATTAACAACCCCACCTAAATCAAAAACAAAAGCAAACTAAGCAAACAATTACAACAGGAACAGAACCACAGAAATGGAGATCACATGGAGGAATATCAACAGGGGAGGGGGAGAGCGGGGGAAGGTACAGAGAATAAGTAGCATAGATGGTAGGTAGAAAATAGAAAGGGGGAGGGTAAGGATAATATAGGAAATGTAGAAGCCAACGAACTTATATGTGTGACCCATGGACATGAACTAAAGGGGGGGATGTGTATGTGGGAGGGGAGTGAAGGGGGGAAAATGGGACTAGTGTAATAGCATAATCAATAAAACATATTAAATATATATAAAAAGAATAGACATACCATCAATGGAACAGAATTGAAAATTTATAAGTAAACCCTTGTATTTATGAAAAATTAATTCTATTAAGATAATAAAATGAAGAAATAATAGTCCTTTCAAGTAATGATGTCTAGACAACTAGATAGTTATGAGCAAAAAAATGAAGTTAGAACTTTACCTCCCACCATATTAAAAAAAAAGTTAAGTAAAAATGAATCAGAGCAAAATGTTAAGAAAGAAAACCATAAAATTCTCAGAAGACATAGGACTAAATATTTGTGACCTTGGATAAGGAACAGTGTTTAAAAACATGACACTTAAAGCACAAACAACACAAAAAAATAAATTAGACATCAAATTTTAAAAAAAGAGGAACAACTTTTATTCTTCTGAGAATGCTATCAAATAAGTGAAAAGCCAACTCACATAATGGGACAAATCTTCAAATCATAGTATCTGCTAAGCATCTATTTTTCAGAATATAAAAAAACTTTTACAACTCAATATTAAAAAGACATATGATCCACTTAGTAGATGGGCAAAAGATTTAAGTAAATATTTCTTGTAAAAAATTATGCAAATGATATTTAAGCACATGAAAAGATGCTCAATATTATTAGATTTTAGGAAATGCAAACCAAAACCACAATATGATACCACTTCACACATATTAGCATAGTATGATAAAAACAGGAAAACAGAAAATATGAAGTTTTGGAGAGGGTGTGAGAAAAACTGAAACCCTCATACATTGTTAATGAAAATGTAAATTTATTCAGCCATGGTGGAAAAGAGTTTGGTAGTTCTCCAACTACGTTTCCACAGGGAGCTACAGAACTCAGAACCTACTGTAGGAGATGAGTGACATGGTTTAAATCACTGTTTCACAGCCTAGCCTCTCCGTAACACTGAGGTAGGGGGGAAGATTGTCTTGGTGATGATGAAAGCAAGTGGGTGATTAGTTGATGGTTTGTTCATGAAAATAAAATATGAAATCTAAAGGTGTCTTGCTTTTGGGAATACAGACTGTGAGTGATACCTACATCTACAACAACTCAGACACTGACACACACAAAACTTCCAGTAATTTGATTCAATTGGTGAATAAGGAATAGAAAAGAAAATTCACTAAAGCTATTATAATAGAAAAAAAAAGGGGGCACAGAAGTAAAGACCTAATCACAAGTTGGAATTTTGTTTACCATTTGAGCAATGTTTTCCTCTTATGGCCTATTCCCATCCCCTTCAACAAACATAAAAATATATTATTTCTTTAATATTCACCAAAATATTCTGGTTATAGATCACTGCTTGAAGACAGTACCTCTAAACCAATAGCGATTTCCCCCACAGGACATTTGACAATATCTCTAGATACTTTTTAGTTATCACAGTAATGGGTGAAGGCCCTATTGGCCTTTAGGGGGTAGATACCAGGGGATGCTGCTGAGCAGCCTGCAGTGCACAGGGCAGTCCTCCACAACAAAGTATTATCAAAACCAATGTTAATAGTGGAAAAGTTAGAAACATTGATTTAAGGATAAAGCTTACCTACCCATTATGAGTAAAGGAAGGTAGAAATATTGGTAGTATCTGGAATTCTTTGCATTTTTTTTGTTGACTTTTGATTGTTGTTCCAGAATTTAGGCACAACACAGTGATATACTATCTGTAGAGTTCTAGAAATTGAGACTATCTTTAGAAACTGTTAAAAAACTGAATCAATATAAGTCACAATAGAAGAATTTAGGTTTGTCTTACTTCTTGGTTCAAACTGACATTTTTACCATTTTAAAATAAACCTTTCTATTCAATGCATGGCTATTGCTCTTGATGCACACCCACTTCTAAAAAGCTAGTTTAGTTCTGTTCAGTCAAGACAAATTTTCAGTAGATTTTCTCAATAATTATACTTACTGCATATGAACATCTGGTTTTGTGCAATAGGACCCCCAGAGGAGGTATGATTATTATAATTAGTAACAGTTTGCATGTCACCATATTTTTCAAGTGTTTTGCAGTAATTACTCACAGTAATTCCATGTGTCAAATTCCTATCATCATCCCCATTTCACAGATGAGAAAGTAGCAGTACAGAGAGGCTAGTTATCTTGCCTCAGGTTACAGATTGATTCAAAGCTGGGCTTGGACTGAGAGGTTTTTATTAAAATTTTTGCAAGTAATTCAAGCCTGTTGGGAATGGTAACTAGTACAAAGCTTAGGTCAGTCCTTGGTTCCTATAGATTTTCAAAAACATAAGCAAGAGAGATTTTATTGTCTGTTGACTAGAAAGTCTCCAAGATGAATTTTGTGTTATTTAAATTTTATAATTTTAAATGAGTTACTTTAGTTTAAATTACCTTAATGTACATTAGTAATTAAATGAGAAATACACTATTCAGTAAGACTGTTCTTTTTTTTTCTTTTCTTTTCTTTTCTTTTTTTTTTGGCACTGTTCCCTGAAGTACTGCAATACCTACCTAGTCAATGTGCTGAGTGGATGGAGCAAACTCCTATTCCATCTTCCAGCTCCAAAAATCCATTTAATATAATGTCCTTGAATAGAGGATTTTTCATATATTAAACAGATAAGAACAGATACTGCACTTGATCTGAGAAGCTATAGTAACATTGTTCTTATGTTGAACTACAATTCAAGTTAGTGAGAATTAAGAATATAAAAAATGAGCTGTAATATATGAATGAAAGTACTTACATACATGTCTCATATGAAAGATAAACAGTATAGTTTAAAAATCTATATATAAGCATACTCCCTCTAAGCATTATGGAAAATTGCTTTCAGCCCGTGTTCAGTTAGCTCGATTTCTTTGCCTGATACGAATGAGACCAATGTTACACCATCAATCCCCAAATGGGTCAATTAGTTTTTCTCTGTCCCTGGACAAAATCATACACAAAACCCTAAATAGCTGTCTCCTCAAACAGCTGTTATATTCACATGGACCTATCAGAAAGGAAGATATTGTGTCTTTCTTAATGCCACTCTGACCTGCTGAATTCAGATAATACTTTCTTACTGATTATTTGTTTTATAAATGTCAATTGTTCATAGCAGGATGGAGAACACCTATGTTCAAATCCATCACAAAGATATATTCTTAAAATATGATGAATAAATGCAGGTGCTAGAGTCAGAAAAGATGATGTGTAAGCCTTGTTTGCTACACAAATTGATCCCTATTCATTTCAGGAATCAAAATGAATTTTCAAAAGCAATTAAAGAACAAAGAATTTGATCTTCAACTTAGGAGATACACATACTCAGGCCAATCACATACTGAATTGATTATGATCGACCACTAGATTAATATGTTCTTTCCAGATTACTACTCTTATATAAAATCTTATGGTAGTATTTTCAAGTGCATTAATTCTAGGAAAAACTTTAGTAAAAATAACACAACAAAACATAACAAATTATGGAGTAAGAAAAAATAGTAATTACAAGCAAAAAGCAGAAACTCTAGAGACAAAACCATATTAGCAAAATGCCACTGAACATCGAGTTCATTGTATCTGCCACACTGTAACTGTTACTAGAAAACTTCTAGTATTTCCCATGAGCCAAAGAAATGCTTTAGTCAAGGTATTTGAGCTAATTTCTTTTCAGTTATTTGGTCTGCTTTTTGAATCCCTACTAGGAAACAGTCAGAAGAATCTGAGGGGAAAGTCATAGCTCTAACAAAAGCAGTAAAAGAAAATTGAAATTATTTCCATAAAATTTGATGGAGATGTTTCCAGTTTAGTACAAGGTAAGTTATAATTGCAGGTAGCTTAAAATGTGGCATTGAGTATGTGTCGAAAAGAAGACCCACAATAAAACTCATATTAGTCTCTGGAAGAAGAATTGATGTGTTAATCTTGATTACATCACTTTCTAGGGGGGAGACTTCATACAAGTTATTTAACAATACAAAGCCTCCCTATTCTTACTTACAGAGTGAAGTTTACAATATCTTCTTTATAAGGTTATTGTGATGATTTAATGAAACTGCATGTGAAAATCTTAACATAATGCATAAAATTAGTGTTTTCTTACTATTAATATTAACATTACTTAGATTGATACTGGGTTAGTATTACCTTTGGCGTTAGCATCATTATTGGTATTATTTACAAATATAATTAGTGTTTTCAACTTTCATGAGACTAGATGACAAGTTATTTCCCCAAACACCTCTTGCATAGATTTCAGAGTTGATGCTTGAAAGAGTTAAGACTTTCGGGGCTGTTGGAATAAAATTAATGCATTGTATATGTGAGAAAGATATTAATTTTGCAGGCCAGTGTTGCAATGCTATGGACTGAATACTTGTGTCTTTCCAAAGTTTATTGTTGAATCCCTAAACACCAATTTAATGATATTTAGAGGTGGGGCCTTCAAGAGAAATCAGGGTTAGATTATTAGATTAGGTCATGACACTGGGACTCTCATGATAGAATTAGAGTCCTTATGAAGAGGAAGAAATATGAGAGCTCTCAATCTGCCACATAAAGATATTGCAAAATGTCAGCAATCTGCAAACAAGTAAAAGAACTCTCACTGGACACTGAATCTGCTAGCACCTTGAAATTGGGCTTTGTAGCCTCCAAAGTTTGAGAAGTGTTTGTTATAGCAGCCTGAGCAAAACAAAACACCAGTATTCATGTTTCTGTGTTAGTGTTTTAAAAACAACTCCCAAGGGAGAAGTTAGAAAAGGGAATTTTGAAAATAAGAAAAGCTCCAAAACCAATTTTGAAAAATAACATAAATTCTCTTAAAATGATAGTTTACATTATTTCAATGTTTCCTTCTGAATATATCTATGTACATAATTCTACATGGGTATTCACCTAAATGCTTTATAAATTTATCACTTTATAAATTTAGAATCATTCAGTACACAGAGATAGACTACAAAGCTCCTCTACTTAATAGTTTTATAAACTTGTTAACTTTATATTATAATCTCTCTGTGCTTCATTTTCTCCATTTATAAAATGAGAATACTAGTACTAATACTTATAATATTGAGCTTTTGTAACAATTAAATGAATTAACATCTGTGAAGTATTGAAGAATTCCTGGCATATACAAAGCTCTGTAGAAGTATAAGCTGTAAGCATTAACATGCCTGCCTGTATTACCAACTCAAAATTTTATTCTACAATGTGATATTTTGGGTTTTTTTAAGATTTTATTTATTTATTCTTAGAGAGAGGGTAAGGGAGGGAGAAAGAGGGAGAGAAACATCAATGTGTGGTTGCATCTCAAGCGCCCCCTACTGGTGACCTGGCCCGCAACTCAGGCATGTGCCCTGACTGGGAATGGAACCAATGACCCTTTGGTTCACAGAACGGCACTCAATCTGTTGACCCACACCAGGCAGGGGTACAATGTAATATTTTCAAAGCTATATAATATTAATACCAGAAACTGAATATTTCTAGCCAATCTTTTCATCGGTGGGTATTTCTGATAGTTCTAATTCTTTCAATTTTGTATTATTCCAGTGAACATTCTTATAACTAAATATTTTCTCAAATAATATATGTCACACAATAACACTATGAATCTCACAAATAAAAAGGCTGCGTCTCTACCAGATTATTCTATAGCACATCCTGTCATTCCAAATATCACTTATGAAAACAGGGATGCCTGTCATATTTTAATGTTTTACTTGTAAATGTGAACAACTGAAGAGGTTAGACAGATTTTATTATTAATTTTGAGAGTGTTGGTACCATTCAACCATTGACTCCTAACCAAGTGTGTTTTATTTCACTATATTCAATTATTTATGCATGCCCTGCAGATTTTCCTTTGTGTAGGTCCTCCCAATTTCTTATTAAGTACATTCTTAGTATTTTTGACAAAGTCGTTTCTGTTGTAGTATCTTCCTTTTTCACTTCCCATGTGAAACACATTCAAGCTTGGTATGAATTTTCTTGATTCCCATCCAGATTTTGTCCTGAACTTAAAGAGTGCAAGTGTAATTATAGTGTTGCACATAACTTGAATATCTCTACTGTAAGACAATTAAGACAAACTCTAAAGTGCTTCAAAAACTGTGATGCATCTTAAGTTATACAACTATCATATATTTTGAACTCTATATGCTGTGGTGTACTGAAATTAATAACAGAAAAATAGTGAAGCCATGAAACCTGAATAGACTTCATATATCATAATTATGATTAGATTCAATAAAATGATTTGATTTAATACATCACAATTTATGTAACAAATTGCGTAAAATTCTGCTTTTTATAATATCTGCCTTAAGTTTATAGTAACAAATAAAAACAGTAGCAAATAAAAATAAAAGTGCTTTAATTAGCCATTCCATTTGAAATCACTTTTTAACTATTTTTATTGAATTTGAGTTATAATGATTAACAAAATTATATAGGTTTCAAGTGTACAATTCTGTAACACATTATCTGTATATGGTACTGTATATTCACCACCCAAAGTCAAGTTTCCTGTCACCATTTATACCTCCTTTACCTTTTTGTACCTTCACCTGCCTCTCCCTCTGGTAATCACCATATTGTTATCTGTGTCTGTGAGGTCATTTTATTTGCTTAATCCTTCTACCTATTTCATCCAAACCTCCAATTCCCCAGGCTCTGACAGCTATCTATAAGTCTGTTTCTATAGGTACTATAAGTTCTGTTTCTTGTTTGTTTATTTTGCTTATTACATTCCACATATATGTACAATCATATGGTATTTGTCTTTCTCTGGCTTATTTGACTTAGCATAATTCTTTTCAGGTCCACTCATGCTGTAGCAAAAGTTAAGATTTTCTTCTTTTTATGGCTGAGTAGTATTCCATTGTGTAAAAATACCACAGCTTTTTTATCCACTAATATACTGATGGACACTTGGACTGTTTCTAAATCTTGGCTATTGTAAATAGTGCTGCAGTGAATATTGGGTGTATATATTCTTTTGAATCTGTGTGTCAGACTTCTTCAAATATATTCCAATAGGTGGAATCACTGGGTCATTAGGAAGATCTATTTTTAATTTTTGAGGAAACCCCATACTGTTTTTCATAGAGGCATATACCATGTTCATGGATAGGAAGAATTAATATAATTAAGATGTCCATACTAACCAAAGTAATCTATAGATACAAGATGATATCCAAGATACCAATTGTGTATTTCAGAGATCTAGAACAATATTCCAAAAATTTATATGCAAAATATCCCAAATTACCATAGCAATAATGAGGAAGAAAAATTAGTTTGGAGGAATCACAATAACTGATATCAAACTATACTACAAGGGCATAGTAATCATAACAGCACATTACTGGCATAAAAACAGAAATAAAGGTCAATGGAAGAATATTGAAAGCCCAGAAATAAATGCATGCCTTTGTGGTAAACTAATTCTTGACAAAGGAGGCAAGAACATATAATGGGGAAAAGACAGTGTATTCAACAAATGGTGCTGGAAAAATTGGACAGATGGATTAAAAAAATGAAACTGGGCCACTGTCTTACATCATGCATAAGAATCAACTCAAAGTGAATTGAAGACTTAAATGTAAGACTTGAAACCATAAAAATTCTAGAAGAAAACAAAGGCAGAATGAGTTCT